AGCGTTTATTTTTGATAGTGATTTTAATCACTGTCAGATATCATTATACTTGATCCAACTATGCCACGTCACAACTGTGCCGCGACCCCCCTGTGCTGGGTTTTTAACTTTATTATGCTATAACTTTTTTTTTTTTTGCTCGACGAAAAATTCCTAATTATGATTCTGGAACTTGAGCCCCCCCCGAAACCAATTTCTGGATACGGGCCTGGTGNCCCCCCCGAAACCAATTTCTGGATACGGGCCTGGTGTATGTATAATAAAGTTACTGTTTGGAATTGATATTATACGATTGTCAAGTAAAACCCCCCGATCCGTCATTTATGTTAAGATAATTAACTTAACGTTAAAAGTATAAAGTAGTGATATAATTTACTCTGGGAATTGTAAAGTTTCATTTTAATATATTTTTAAAATTACATGAGTCAAAAATTTAGGTATTTATCAAAACATAACTTCATGAATTCTTTGCACTATTTCTTATTGAACATGTGCAGGTTGTGTATTTCGACGTTGAGTTATACCTCTTCTTCTACCACCTCTTCTAGCAGTTTGTGGTACATAGTTATAACAATAAATATAAGTTAATAAATGTTCAAATATACTTACTTTCTTGTTGTACTTTTTCCCGATGTTCTTTTATTGCATTCCCAAGAAGATTACATTAATTAATGAAAATGATCAAAAAAAAAACAGCAGTATATAACAAAATTTGTATATGATTATTGAAATCATTGTCATCTCTGTGAAAGTTTATAATAAAAATAACTGACATATATTAAAAAAATGAATTAAAATAATATTTTTCAGATAATTTTGATTTAGTTATAGTGTTTATATTAATCAATTTATTTGATTGCGTTTAATAAAATAAACAATACGTTTGATTATATTAGTGTATTGTTTATCCATATTCTACAAATTACTTACACACATGATGTCTTAAGAATAATCTTACTTCAATTTTTTATCTGTATATGTTTGTAAAACAAATCTGTACAGAAATTTATAACTTCCACTCCCATCTGCAAAGGAAATAACATCTCCATGATTTAAAACTTGATAATCATTTTGGTTATTAGGAATTTGCACACAATTTACATAAGTTTCATTACCTGTTCCCTGTAGTACAGATATTGTTGATCAACTTAGAATTAATTATTCTCTTTGATAGCTAAATTAATATAAACATGCAATAAAAATTTTAAGTCTTACATTGTGAGAAATAAGATATTGGCCATTGGATTTATTTATAAAACAATGTCGTCGTGAAATAGATTTTTCTTCAATTACAAGTGAACAGGCAAGAGAACGTCCAATAACAAACTGAAGAGTTATAATATATCAATTTAACCATTTTAAAGAAAAATAAAGTATATTGTAAAATATAAAACAAAGTTAAGATGGCTTTAAGTTAAATCTACCTCAGTCTCTCCAATAGGATAGTTAATGCCACTAGCCAAGCACTGTAATGTTGCATTACCAGTTATGTCAGAATAACTGTTACTTCTTTTTAAGCTCATTGTATTTTTTATCTCTTTTAAGATTTATGGTATTCAGTTTCAAAACTATCATATAAATACACTTTAAAGTAGATTTAAAAGTAATGAAAGTATTTGTTTTGAATTAAAAACATTCGAAACTATGGTAGCACATGTTAATTACGTACTGTTAATACAAAATAGAATAATTTTATAAAAGCTTATAGAAAATAATAATGTTAAACAAATAAACAACTGGAGTCAATTTTAGCTTCGATTCGAAGCTGAGAAGGTATTAATTTTACTATGATGTGTTTTTTTTTTTTGTGTCTGTTACCACTTTTTCTCAGCTCTCACTGAACTGATTTCTTTCAATGATACGTCAAAAGATCATAAATCGTATTTAGTCAACATGATCTAAATCACTAATATTATGATGAGGTTTATAAGGAGAATTTATTAAAAAATTTATTCCATATAAATTAACCAAGCGCCGGTCAGAAAATATGTTTTGTTTAGGACACATATATTGCCCAGCAATTTCTCTTTTATGGTTTACTTGGAAACTCGAGTACCATTTTTGACTTATGCCATACAATAGGAAATTAATAAGCTTTAATTTGGTGTATAATTTTTAAATGAATATCCCTCGGTACTTTGTGAAAAGTAAAATATAATATTACTAGGCTCCGCCTAGCTGGGCGCGTAAGCCTCTTCGGGCCGTCATCATAAGTAGGCCACTGATTCCGGTAGGGGAAGCCGGCTACGCCGGGCACGATAGGTGTTTTTCAGAAAAAATATTACATCAGAATCAGTGCAATAAAGTATATATAAAAATGTTATTATTAAAATCAGGAAAATTCAAAAAGAGAATATAGTAAAATGTATAGGTATAAGGTTGACGTCGATTTTCCCAGAAAAGCGTTTTTTTCCTTGTTCTATTATATAATAAGATATAATAAGACACGTACATGTGTATTATTAGCATACAGAAAAATCGTCATTTTCCGTTAAAATTTGATGAATTTCAAACGCTCGTAGCGGCCAGAGTTTTTGTTGGATCTCGGATTTTCCGATTTTTGGCANGTTTTTGTCGGATCTGGGATTTTCCGATTTTTGGCACTTCCTCGGCACGTACAGAACGCCGTGGTATGATTGCGAATCGTAAAAAAAATCGTTTTCATGTCGTAAAGTGTCGCAAGAATTTCTTCTTGGCGTCTCGAGCGCATGAAAAAAAAAAAAGCTCGTAAAACGGTGAAAAATGAACGGATTGAATTGATTTTTTTATCATATCTCAGGAATGTCATTGGGCGGGTCTGGTGAAAATTTCAAACCTTAAGTCGTAAAACGCTGGCGTCAGCGAGCGTTTTTCTCGAAAACGGTGGAAATTTTAAAACGCTCGTGGGTGAGCTGCAAAATTTTTCCAACCTTCGCCAACAATTTTCCCGGAGTCTGGTGACCGAGTACTTTCGTTGAAAAAAAAAATTTTGAAAATCCGAGCACGCTAAGTAATTTTCCCAGAAAAGCGTTTTTTTCCTTGTTCTATTACATAATAAGATAATATAACATTTTTAGCTTCGATGCGAAGCTGAGAAGGTATTAATTTTACCATGATGTGTTTTTTTTTTTATTTTTTTTATATATTTTTTTTTTCTTGTGTCTATCACTACTTTTTCTCAGCTCTCACTAGACCGATTTCTTTTAACAATACGTCAAAAGATCACAAATTGTATCTAGTTGAAGACATTACCCTTAAAAATTGAAAAATTTTCCCTCGTTCCCCGCAAATGGGGGAAATATCCAAAAAAATTACAAATTTAAAAATCGACAAATTTTGTCATTTTTTTCACTTTTTTTTCTTAAAACTTCCATAACTTTTTCAAAAATCAACAAATCAACATAATTTTTTTTTAAACTAAAACCTTAGATATTTTCCTTTCATTTGATATAATTTTTTTGAAAATTTAACACTTAACCTGCTCATGGGGGGGGATTTAAAATTGCAACTTTTTTACAAAAACTAACTTTTTCAACTTAATTTTTGAAAATGTTCCGGAAATACTGCGTCCTTTAAACATATATCAAATTAAAGCTTATTTTATGTACTATAAAATGAAAAAAAAAAATTTGTCCCGACACTTTATCTTCTGCATGTAAACGGTTGCCGTAGTTAAAAAAACACTATTTTTGTGTTAAAATTTTCGATTTTCGATTTTTAATTTTCAACTTAAAAATGCTATAACTTTTCGAAAAATGCATGTATCAGCACAATTTTTTTTTTTCTAAATACATTATAAGTACATCTTTCATTTGACATACTTTTTATTAAAATTGGACAATTTCCCCTTATATAGGGGGCGTTCAAAACTTAAAATATTGTTTACAAAAACTAATTTTTTCAACTTAATTTTTGAAAATGTTCCGGAAATACTGCGTCCTTTAAACATATACCAAATGAAATCTTATGTCATATACTATAAAATGAAAAAAAAAAATTGTCCCGACATCGAATCTTCTGCATGCAAACGGTTGCCGTAGTTAAAAATGGTATATTTGTGTTAAAATTTTCGATTTTAAATTTTCAACTTAAAAATGCTATAACTTTTCGAAAAATGTGCATATTAGCACAATTTTTTTTTTCTAAATACATTATAAGTACATCTTTCATTTGACATAATTTTTATTAAAATTGGACAATTTCCCCTTATATAGGGGGCGTTCAAAACTTGAAACATTGTATAAAACATAGATCTTTTTCAACTTAACTTTTGAAAGTGTTCCGGAAATACTGCGTCCTTTAAACATATATAAAAATTAAAGCTTATTTTATGTACTATAAATTAAAAAAAAAAAATTTGTCCCGACACCCTATATACTATGTGCAAATTGCTGTCGAAATTAAAAAAAAAATGTAATATTTGCGATAAAAATCACCTTTTATAACGATGTTTTTTGTACTTAAAACTGCCATAACTTTTTCAAATATTAACAAATCAAAATAATATTTTTTTATATTGAAACCTTAGGTAATTTCCTTTCGTTTGATATCATTTTTTTTGTAAATCTAACACTTATTCTGCTCACAAAGAGGATTTAAAATAGTAACTTTTTTACAAAAATTAACATATTCAACTTAATTTTTGAAAATGTTCCGGAAATACTGCGTCCTTTAAACATATATCAAATTAAAGCTTATTTTATGTACTATAAAATAAAAAAAAAAAATTTGTCCCGACGACCTATCTTCTATGCGCAAATGGCTACCGTATTCAAAAATACTAGGGTTGGGTTTTTTTTAACTAACTGGGGCCCTCTAGCTGTGTATATTCTAATTATATCTGATTAGAAATTGCTATATAATAATTGCTAACTTCATAGTCGTATTATCCTTATCAAATAAAATGTTTCAGTTTGTGTAATTTTTGTTATACAACTTTAAGTAAATTTGCTAAACTGTAAAAATTGATAATATTAAGTTATAGAATAAGTTTTTTTTATCATGTACTGTATTAGGATTGCCAATTGATATTTGATCAGTGAATAAATATTGTGATTTTAAAATAACATTTTTTAAAAAGTTCACTAGACAAAAGAAATCAGAAGTATAAAGTAAGGTCAGAAGGTACGTTGATATATGTACTTGTACTATTATTTGGATATGATTAAAAATTAAACTTCGTTTTTAATAAATTTCAATACTTAGTATCACTTCATAACTTTATTTATTATCTAATAATTAAATTTTATCTAATATATTTTATTGTTTATAATGTATTTTTAACTACTATTTGTTTTAGTTTATTATCACTGTAATTTCAATGGCTTCTACGTCAAGAGATTCTCAGGAATCTATTGCAAAAAAAACCTGGGAATTGGAAAATAATATTCAAACTGTAAATACAGTTGATGATATATTTAAATATGATAAACAACAACAACAAGATATACTAACTGCTAAACCTTGGGAAAAAGAGTATGTAGTTGAAAAGACATTTTTAATATATAATATATTAACTTATCCAATTGTTAAATGTTATTTCAGTCCACATTACTTTAAAGAACTAAAAATATCAGCATTAGCACTTCTTAAAATGGTTATGCATGCCCGTTCTGGTGGGATTCTTGAAATTATGGGTCTTTTACTTGGTAAAGTTGAAGGAAATACTATGATTGTTATGGATTCATTTGCTCTTCCTGTTGAAGGGACAGAAACAAGAGTTAACGCTCAAGCACAAGCATATGAATATATGACTGCTTACATTGAATCCGCTAAAGTTGTATGTTAATTATTAAATTTTCTTATTTCATATCTTACCAGATTCTTTATTAATATAACCTCATATGATAGGTTGGACGTCAAGAAAATGCTATTGGTTGGTATCATAGTCATCCTGGATATGGATGTTGGTTATCTGGTATTGATGTTTCAACTCAAATGTTAAATCAAAATTTTCAAGAACCATTTGTTGCAATAGTAATTGATCCAGTAAGAACAATTTCTGCTGGTAAAGTTTGTTTAGGAGCATTTAGAACTTATCCAAAGGTACAGTATTAAGTTTTATTACTTTGCTATATTAAATTTAATTATAACATGTTAAATTAATAAATTACAGGGATATAAACCTGCTAATGAGGAACCTTCTGAATATCAAACAATTCCATTAAATAAAATAGAAGATTTTGGTGTTCATTGTAAACAATATTATTCCTTAGAAGTAAATTATTTTAAATCATCACTTGATCGACGTTTGTTAGATTCATTATGGAATAAATATTGGGTAAACACATTAAGTTCATCTAGTTTAATTACTAATGCTGATTATTTAACTGGACAAATAAATGATCTCTCTGATAAATTGGAACAAGCGGATACTTCTCTTAGTCGAATATTTTTTGAACCTGTTGATCGCTCAAAACCAGAAAATAAATTAGTTAAGGCTACAAAAGATAGTAATAAAGCAACAATTGAAATTTTGTGTGGGTTGATGTCTCAAACTATTAAAGAAGCACTTTTTAATAGTTGTACTCCTAAAAATAATCAACAATAACATTAATGAGAAATATTTTATAAAAATTAATTAAGTTAATTCAGTATCCTTTTAAATTTTAAATATACAACGTTTATACTGTTTTTTTGTATTTGTTTATTTTTGTTCATATAAACACAATTTTGGGGTCTATGTTACTTGGATGTGAGAACTATTGTTTATTTTCTCTCTATTTTGATGTGAAATTAAAAAAAAGTTAATTTATTACTTTTAATAAATTTTAAGGATTATAGTTATTGCAGTATATTGAAAAACTTAAACATTTAATGGAAATGTAACTATACGATTATTAGGAATAATTTATTTTTTAAATTTGCTCACCAAGTTGTGATGTATTAAAGGCAATAACAACAAATTCACTTATATGTTATTATTTAAATTTAAATAAAGTTAATTACGATTGTTTTTTAATATATATAACTAAAACAATGATATAAATGACAATTGTAAATACATTTAAAATAGACTGACAGTGACGAATGCATAACAAACAATATATAAAAGCAGATAATATAAGAAAATTAATTAATAGTTGATGTTGATAAAAGCTTGGATATTGTTAATTTATTAAACATTTGATTATATGTAATGTAAGCAGAGTTAATTTTTTTTTATGTAATTTTAAAATTAAAACGACTAGTATATTTAAAAATTCTAACATTAAAACTACATTAATACATTCCATAAATGTTTACTCAATATTATTTTTTTTAATGCTTTATGGGTAATGATTAATTTAAATAATAAATCTCAAAAGAAGCCACCAATTGTAGCGTGTAGTGATATTGTGATGAAATAGCTTCAGAGAGCTCATTGCTACATTACACACTTCCTTCCATCTCTCTCTATCTATGTCCATCTCTTTGTAGTTTATAATTCCTAGCATTATTAGATCCTTTATGACTATTGAACCATTGTTGCTTAGGTCTGCCTAAGGGTCTCTTTCCTCGTATTTATATATAAATAAAATTTGCATATAATTTTATTATTTGGACACCATGCCTGATGTTACAATCAAAAGATAGTAATTTCAAGTAAGTTATTCTTTTCCGTATAAAAGTTCTAAATATATTTATCAAATTTATAACTCATCTCTTTCAATGTAAGAGTAATTACACTCAATATTTGAAAAGAAAAGGATTTAAAGTCATTATGAGATCGTAGGAGAATTAAAGATCTTAGTTTCGTCTTCCATTTCTAATTTCTAATAATTATAATACTTGATTTAATTAGCGCAGATTCTTTCGTTATTAAACAGTGCGCAGTTAAATATATAACAATAATTATACATACAATAATACAACTTTTTAACCGCATCTACAGTTAAAAAGTTTACGATTATGTCTTATCATTTTTTTAAACTACCGCCAACAGAGATAAAGATAATACGTTATCTGATTTTGAAATCGCCAATCATCATAAGTCATTATATTATCACGTAATTTTTATTGATTTTTTTTATGTGTCCCAAACTTTTGGTTAAATTTTTTTTGCATTATATTTTACTTAACTAATCATTAAAATAGTTTCTAGTATGTCTAATGAAAAATAAAATCTCAAGATACCTAATTTACTATAGTTTAAGTGTTATGATTTTATTATTTTTATAAGCTATTTGTTATAATAAAATTTGTCAAGAGAGTTTATCTAAAACAATGTCTAGAAAAATTAACATAAAAATATCGGATGATGAAGAAGAGGATAAACTTGATTTTCCTTCATTAAATGCTGATGAGGTTCAATGGGATTCAAAACAAAAGATTGCTCTACTGAACAGTATGATAAATCTAAAACCTGCTGGTAAATTAAAAAAAAAATCAATATGACTCTGACGATTTAATATTATTAATTAAAGATTAATTAGCTATACCAAATGATAGCAAGGCTTATATATTTTATATGTATTAATTTTTAATTTTGATAAAATAACATTATGCCTGTGACTTATATTGTTGTGTACATAGTATTATCTTCTTTATTAATGTCGATTATAGAGACTGTTTATTATTGACAGCGATTATTGTAGATGACTAATTTATTCATGACTGTTAACCTCAATTATATTGCATATTTTTCATAAATGTTTTGCACAGTTTTGATTAAATATTATTCCAAAATAATATTCATACAAAATGTTATACAAATTGCGCATCAAATACTTTGCTAAAGAAAATGTAATTTATAAATTTATTATGCAGTAATTTTTAACTTAATTTTTAGTATAATGATAAAATAGTTCTTTTTAGTGTCTAACAAAACTTTTTTCTAAATATTTTTTTAAAAATTTTTTCTATGTCTTTAATGCCTCATAAGTAAAAAAGTACAAAATTAGCAATTTTATGAGAGTCAATGATAATAGAACTCAGCTTATATACTTATTGTTTTATGTTTCTATTTTATTTGTTTATGTTTTTGTTACCCACCTATTTATTCATATTTAAAACTAAGTTTATTTTAAGGTATACACAAACACTTGAGTATGCTTTTAATTAGAGAAAATGTTAGTAAAAGTCTCAAGACTAATATACCTTCAGAAGCAATTTGGAATTTTTTGCATTCTCATTGGAAAATGGATATTGCTGTAAGTCTATAAATGTTTCATTTATTTTAATAAAGATACTTAAGACTTTCCATTTAATAAAATAAAATAAAATTATACTTAACTCAATAGATCTAAAATTATAATTTTATTCTTTTTAAGGATGAAATAGAAAATATTAATATACCACACACAATACAAGATTTTTCATTACCAAATGATGATGACTGGACACAATTGATTGAAGAACAAAAAATGATTATAAATTCAAACAAAAGTATAGTCACTTTGATCTCTAATAGCTGTTTTAATACTAATACTTATTAATAAACTTCAGTTCAAAAGTTTCTTTTCAATTATTTTTAATAAAACAAAAGTAATAAAATATTTGAAAAGACCTAGATTGAGTTTTTAATAATTTTTAATTTTTATGAAGCAACCATTTCTAATTTAAAATTTTTTCTTAATTGAATTGTTTATAATTTAGATGGATATATGTTGAATTAAAGCTGTTTAGTTCTATTTTTTGCTTTTTAATTATACACAGGTTATTCATAAATCACTCGATTATTCCCAAGATAAATACAATATTGAAAAAAAATTGTTTTTTTTTTTTTAGTTAACTAGTGATAGCAATAGCAGCACCCACTCCTCAACTCCAGTCATTATTTTAATTAGTTAGTAACTTTTAAAATACTGGTTCAAAAGTTGTTATCGGTTAGTTATTTTCTTAATTAGATTATTTCCTGTTTTATAACATAGTTAAATATGTATGTTTTAAAAAAATAATGTTGACACCCTTTAAAGTTATAAGAAATGATTCTAATAAGTATTATTCAATTCCTAGTATATCATTATACTAATTATTGGTATATCAATTATTGGTTGATATATCAAGAATTATATGTAACTAAAAGAAATCAAAATTTGTATATATTTTGAGAGTAATTGAGTGGTTTATGATAAACCGATCAATTCTTGTATGCATAGGTGAAAATAGTTAGGGGTTTTAAATACTTTGCATTCTCAAAATTATTAATAATTGCATTTATGGTTGTATATAAATATTAACATTAACCCCAAAACTAATGTAATATTTTCACCATGTTTACATATATTTTAATATTTAATAAAATCATATATTTTTAAAATAGTTTTTAATATAAGTTTAATTAAAATTTTTATTCAAATGTTTTAATTTTAATTAATATGTTAAAAAGCTAAAATTAAATATTTTATCAATAACTATAACAAACTATTTATTTATTTTTTTAATTAATTTAGAAGCCAACAATTGTGATATTATTTACAAGAATTCGGATGTGAAAATTCTTCAAACTGTAAAAGTAATAATTGAAAAATTAGATGATCAAAATTTGCCATTATATATGTCTAAATTAAATGCATTAAAAAATACTTTGAAATCTGATTATTCAATACATAATTCCTCCAATGTTTTAATAAAAAATACGGACAATACTAGTAAAACTAAATTGGGAAAATCTACATCAGTAGCTGTCTATAGCAAAAATAAATTTAATGAGTCTCATCCCAGTAATAATAGTTCTTTAATTTGTGTGAAAGAAAATAGATGTTCAAGTTTATCAAAAAAAAGAAAGTTAAATATGTCTGTTTGTTCTACATCTCTTTATAATGATACGGATAATTTGAACCAAGAGACAAAATCACACATGGTAATAAATAAACCATTCACTAGAAGACATTCATTAAATTTATTGAAATGTCCTGCAATCAAACTCTTGCATCCTGTTAATTTAGATATTGAATTTAAAGAAGAAGTAAAAAACTTACAGTCAATAAATTCAATAAAAGTTTTAAACTGTGAAAGGAAAACTGATTGTTCTAGTTCTAAAGATTTGCATCCATCAGGTGTATCAACTAGATCAAAAATGCTTGATTTCAAATCACATTCTTCTGGTTTGTTTTATGAAAAATTAATTTTTCCTGAAACAGAAAATTATACAAACAAACAACTACCAATTAATAAGAAAGCAAAGTCAATGACATCCAAAGTACAAAATTCAAATAATCCAATTGGAAAATTCAGTAAAACAGAAAATGTACAGCAAACTTGTTATAATAACTCTTTGACAAAAAAAAATACAAATAAAATGTTTAAGATGTCTTTAAAAAAAGAAACAGAAGTTAAAAAAAAATGCAGACATAATAAGTGTTGAGCAGTAAGTATAGCATAAAAACGCGATCTCATTTAAAAACATTAGTCAAGGAATAAATGAGAATGGTAAGAAAAATAAAAGTATGGAAATTAAATATACTTCATATTTTATATTTGTTGAGAATGGTTTCATGTGCATTTATAAATTTTGTTTGAGATATTTTAAAAGGATCCAAGTCAGTTCAAATTTGTTGTTGGAATATACATTTGCATAGAAATATTTTTCTTTTTAAGGAAATATACCTTTCTACTCTCCCTTGTACTATAACCCCAATTAGATCACATTAAGTTTTCAAGCCTATTAATAAAAAAATTGTGCTGACTTATGATGCGTTTGGAAAAATTTAATAAAATGTATAAATGCATATAAATCTACTCTAATTATTAAATACATTTTTTTCTTATATTTCTACCAACTATTTTGGTTATATTGTTCCTTTGATCTATTTTGCTGATAAATATGAAAAAAAAATGATATATTGCAATTTAGAATTCTTAATTTCTCAATTTGTTTAAAACCTTGAGTATGTTAAGTGCTATTGATGCACGTGTGTCACATGCTAATTGCATGTAAAATTTTTCTATCAACCATTTTAAACAAATTTGAATTTGATTATATGTTCCAGTTTCTATTCATTTATGAAAACAATATTATAAATATCTTCTAGTAGAGTTCCTTTTAAGTGTAATTAGTATACATATTTAGAAATATTTAAATTATTATAAACGCTATTGTATTACAAAATAGTCTACTTAACTATAGATTTGCAGGACAATTTTTAAATTATGAAGTTATCAATATTCTATTTTGAAAATTTTAATAAGCACAAATTAATTATAATATACATTTCATTAAGATATTATTAACTAAGCAAATTAACGTATTATGGTATTTGTATTTAAATTTTTTTTAGATTAAATTGAATTTTTATAGGTTATAAATTATTATAAGGAATTTCTTAATATCTTATTTCAAATAATATAAATTTACATAGTATTTAACATAAGTTTAGACATTTTTTAAACTAATTATATTTCGAAAATTTTAATTAAAAATACAGACAAAATTATTAGTTATTTTTGCTATTTTAAGTGTAGTTTTATTTTACACTAATATTTAATAATTGTTATATTAAAAAATCTATAACATACTTTTCTTAAAAAGTTTTAACTTATTAAAAAATTATATTAACAGAATTTCAAAGTATTACTAATAATCAATTTAGTTTTATATATTTAAGATTATGAAACTTCTTCATTCAACATGAAATGACTTTTTGGATAACCAAGATATAAAACTTGATGCAATGTTTTGTATATTTTGTGTGATTGGCTTGTATTTTAATTTTAATTTTGGTAATTTATTACAATTTAAATTAATTTAATTTTAAATATATATTCTATGTTACAATTCTTACTTACAAATTAATATTCTTATTACAGTTAGATTCTTTAAATTTAACTTACTATAAATTCATCTAAGATCAAATTTTATGAATATTGAAAAATTTAAGGTAAATTAAATTTTTTATTTTAAGTAAAATAATAGAAAAATATTTTAAATCATTAATTTTAAAATTAAATAATTTTTTCTTACATAAATTTCAATGTTCTTAAATGCTGTTTGTTCTGTATCAACCAAAGTTCTTTAATCAAATTTTTTGAAAAATGATGACTTCTGAATAAGCAAGGAAAGTTACTCTTCAAGAATTTGGAATCTGCAATGCAAGAAGAAGTTCTTAATTATTAAATTTATATTATTATTTACATAATACCAAATTTTCAATTTTAGTGTGAATTATTAATTATTCTGTTTCCTCTACATAATTTTTTTTTAAAGAAATTTTTTGTCTTAAAAATAGTGTTTTTTTCTATATTTAATTTAATCTTATAAATTATACAATTAAATTTAACTATAATTTTCAGTTTTACTGTATATTACAATTTTATATTTACTCAGTGTACAATTTTTCTAACTACGTTAAGAATTAAGCATTAAATAGAAAATACTAAAACGAAAACTTAAATTAATTTTTTAATTAAAATCTTACTTTCCTTTTTATTACAGTGCAACAATTAAACTATACTTTCAAAGTTACATCTTTATAAATAAAGTTAATTATAAATAAGGCAATCAGGTCTCGGGTGCAACTCGTGGATAATACCTGTTCCGTTCATCATTGACCTAGTCAAGAACTATCTTTAACTCCTTAACATGTAAAAGGAGGGCCACCATCCTCTGTAGCTTGTTAAGTTTGGGAATTAGAAGGAAATAAAATTTATCATTATTTATAAATCAGTTTAATTCATATGTTGTCATTTAAAAAAATAAAGTTGACACCTATAAAATGTAAAAGATGAACTTAAAAATTATTTTATAACATAAATAGAAATACATAAGATCCAGAATCGCACAAACTAAGTAAGCATTTATGAATAAGAAAAAATTGTTATGCTCCAATAGCGCGAGTAGAAGAATGAGGAAATGCTTCAGAAAAATATGTGTATGAGGTGCGGCATTATATTGGTGTGAAACCTGTATATTAAAAAAAGCAAAACAAGGAATTCTAGAAAGCTATGAAATGTAGTGTTGGAAAAGGTGCTGCGAAATAGATGAACGCAGAGAGTTCCTCAAAACCAAAAGATGGAACGTAATTGCTCTCATATTGAGGCACGAAAATGAATTAATTTGTAGAATAATAGAAGGAAAAGTTGAAGATAAAACGAGACCGAGACGTCCAAGAACTTCATTTGTCAAAAAATGATATCCAATCCTAGACTATCAAACTACACTAACCTAAAAGAGGTGAGCTAGGAATAGGGAAGAGTGGAGACCGCATGTCCAACTGTAAAACCAACCATAAAAGTTTAAAAAAAAAATTGTTTTAATCTAAAAATAAAATTTTCAACTAAATGATAATTGTATTAAAAGTTAAAATTATTGTCAGTTAGGTCTGAGATACCTGTATATATACATATTTTATTATATATATATATAATACAGGTATAATAACTAGTTTATAATATTGATAATGACGGGTCGAAAACAATTTGTAGATCAGTACTTCGGAAGATATTCACATTTTTGTACCTAGGTAGGAAGATTAAGATGGTTGTATCTTCCTTACAATTATTATGTACACATTAATTATGATATGTGGCATATTTCCCCTAGGGCAATAGGAGCCAAGGCCCGAGGTAGTTGGTTAGAAGGGCGGCACAAGCTACTGCAAATTTCTGGGCAATAGGAGTGGTTTACAACTATGCAGTAGGCTTAGCAAACTTTAAGACTTAATTGCTAAGTTTTAAACGCTTAATACTATTCTATTTACTGTAAGAGTGAAAAATAATTTGAATCGGGGTTTTGTCCAGGTGGATAAGTGGATACACAAAATATATCTTGGACAAAATTAAATTTTACAATTTAAACATGATAAATGACAAAACCATAATATAATGAAAAGGTTATAAATTGAACTTATTCCATTCTTTTAACTTTTTAATAAGATTTTTACTTGTACCTCTATTGAATTTGGCTTTAATATAATTTAAAAAATTATTATAAAATAAAATACATAAAATAATTTTTAGTTTTATTTTAGGAGCTTTATCTTTTTTGTCAATCTAATGAATTATAACCATTTTAATCTATTACAATTCTGTACATATTGTAGTAACTAGATAAAATAAAACCTCTGATTTAATTAAAATTATTATTGTATTGGAATATGAAGCAAAAATAATTGTATTAATAACTTGATAATAAATTTTAAAAATATTTTCTTAATCGAAAAAAGCTTAAATATATTATAAAATTTAATGAAAAAAAAGGAATAATAAGTGGTGTAGGTAGTTCAGATTTCTTAAGGGTGGTATAATAAAAGACATCCAAAGAACTTAAATTTCCATTTTTTGTTTATCAATTTATTTTTAAAATATGAATTCAGGACGTGATTATGGAATGCTTAAAATAATGAGGTAATAATCTCTTGTATTTTTTATCACGTAAGCTCTAATTAATTTGTTAATCTGTTTTGAACTTCACTAAATTTTTAAAAAGTGTAATTTTGTTGAGTAATTTTATACTGTTATACTTTTTTATTTTGTACTTTTATATTTATTGAAAATTTCAGTTTTATTATAAAATTAATCTTTGATTCTACAAAAATCATTGATTTTAGAACATATTCACTGTTGTATTATAAAATGTAAGTCTCTTATGTGATACATTATTAGAGTGGGTGGAGGAGAAACACCCAACAAGTCGCCTTAGAATCAATTTATTTAGCTCCCCTAAGTGTTTGTCATAATGTTTGCTCATGTTTAATATTACTGAGACATCTTTTATATAACTAAATAACGAACTTCCTATTTTATCCATTACTATATGAGTACTATGCATTTAAATTTTATCAAGTTTAAATACTTACATTAATTAAATAATCTGTATAAAAAAATAGCTCTTAATTAAAGTTTCTCAACTAATCTGTCTTCGCAAGCGCAGTTGTTAAAATAATTATAAAATAAAAATTAAAAGGATAGTTATTATTTTTACATTTATTTTTTTAATTTTGGTGTTTAAAATGTCCATATAGATTTTTTTAAATTTCTAACGTTATATTAAAAAAAAAAACTAACTAGCTGCTTTATTATGTAACTAAATTTTTTAATTGCTTTCGTATGATATTGATTTTTTTTTATCTATAATAAAATGTAAATTTTAATACATTTATGTAAGTAATGTTAGTATACTTTGCGTGTGAGTTATTAATCATTACAACATTACATTAAATTAAATTGAAATCGTATACATCAGTGACTCGTAGCATAAATAGTTTGACAAATTAATTAAGTTAATTGACGCTCACCTAGTTTATTCAGTAATAATTTATAGCTTTATAATAGATGTGTAGATAAATTATTTGTAATTTTTTTTTTTTGAAATAGGGTGGAACCTTGTATGTTTTAAAAAAAATACGTGTATAAATAATTAATGATTCTCTCTTGTTCGCTAAACAATTTAACCGATCCAACACACCTATGAACTTAGTAATATTACGAAGAGTACACATCTAATTAAAGTTACATTACATTATCCAAAAGTTCGTCTATTTTTTTATGAACCTATATAGTGTACTTACAGTATATTTAACATGTGTCCTTGAGTAGTTGATACATTTTTTCCCCTCTGTGACTTGTCAACTAGATAATAATTGTTTAACTACTCAGTTTTATTAGAATTATTTTCAAAATTTTAATCTATAAAATGTTTAACACATTCATAATAATAGAAATGTCAGTGTCAATTTTAAAGAGGAGGGACTGTGGCATGGACACAATTACAATGATAATTTTGGGATAGCTAAATTAATTTATCCCCTACCCTAATATTTTTAGATATGATGCAAAGCTAAGAAGATATTGGTTTTACTATGTTTATTTTTTTTTATCCATTAAAATTCTTAGCTTTTACTGAACAAATTTTAATGATTAATATGCCAAAAGAATCTGATTTTAATCTAATTGAATCTAGTTTTTCTGAAAATTGGAAAAACACTTTTAATAATTAAAAATTTAGACAAATATCTCAAAATTATATTAACGTATGAAATGGTATTTTCAAAAAGTTTTATTTGAATTTTAAAACTACTGTCACTTTTTTATAAACAATGATCCTAATCAAATTTTAATGGAATTACTAATGATATAAACATCTTCCTATTGGTGTGTTTTTTTTTGAAAATTCAATAAAAAACAAAAGTACAGGAAGGGTTTGAAAATGTTCCAGCAGATTTGCGTTTTCTTATTTATATATAATTGAAACTTTTCAATAGTATTTTATGATCATAATAATATTGTAATACAATATAAAAGAGACAATGAGCTTTCTTTGTTGTGTATTTTGTGGAATTAGTTTTTTTTTTACAAAAAATTTACTTTATTTTCAATTAAAAAAATAATTTATTAGGCATTTAATATTTCAGTGAAATTTTAAAGTATAGAAATTGTGATATTATAAATCTCCAAATTATTGTAAAATTTAACAGACTCGCGTCGAATCCTTTTATTATAATATTGATACCGATCTATATTATTTATACTTATCCTAATTATTCTGCATTTCCACTATAGTGCGACCTTACTGTGCTGGGCTTTTTAATACAACATTGTGAAAACGGACGTGTACAGAGATTTAATTCGAAGGTGGCAAAAACTTATACGTATTTATGACATATAGGGTTTTTATTCTTAAAATTAATTTGTAAACTCAGATTGAAAATTTGATTACTCCTCTAGAAATAGCGCTATCAATATTTTTTAAACTGATACTTAGAAAATATACCTCTAATGTTCTTGTTTTTAGTTTTCACTTTACTTTTTAAGAAACAGATTTTCTCTACATTTTATTATAAAATGTTCTTCTTTTGTTATTATTCACATTTCTTATACTGACTGATATATTGAAATAACCTAATTATCAACAATATAATTTATACACAAAATCGGGCAAGGAATCCAACAGATCTGTTGACGTCATTATTAAGTGGACTTTTAATAGAAATTTTGTAGGCTTTTATTAGCAAACGATGACTTTTCTTCTAATTATCTGTTTGAATAGGTCCTCGATATTTGAAGATTCTTAATACGTTGGACTTCTTAAAACCAAATCTGCATACTTGTAATCATTAAACTATAAAACGTAACTTAATCTATCTCTTAAATTTATTTAATATATAAAATAAATATTTGCACAACAAAAAAATACTGGATACATTTAATCAAGTTTATTGTTATATATATATATCTTTTATTTGAACTTACAATTAGACTTAATAATTAGCTTACTGTTCGACTATACTTTATTGAAAAAAGTATATCAAAAGCGAAAAAAGTATTTTTGCTTTGGACTTATTTTTTTTATGTCTACGAAGAATTTATATTAGGATACGATTTTGTATTTGCTCATAGCAATATATTTTGTATATTTTATTAGAGAATGTTTGATAAGTTATATATAAATTTCTGGACGGTTACAAGTATACAGGGTGATTTTTTTATCATAACCCACTCAATTACTTGCAGAATAATAATAATTTAAACATTTTTTTTTATTATTATCTTTAGTTACACATTATTCTTGAATTTTTAACTATGTAATACTTTTTAAGTTCATCCCTTATGCCTTGGAAGGGGGTCAACTTTGTTTTTTTAAATGGTAACACATATTTTTAATTTAATAAAATGTTTGAGTTTTTAATTTAATAGTAAATGGCATTTGAATTTTTAATATAACTTAATTCGTTTATTAGATATAATCATTTAAAGTTTCAAATTTTTGAGTTAATATATAGGTATAATACACATGGGATTGTAAATACAGGTAGCGAATTGGATTTTGATGACATTGCTGTCTCAGTCACGGATTGTTTATTATCAATTATGATTATCAATAGATATACTTTCTGTATTGTCAGTTAGTGTATTTATAAACTCATAACAATGTGCCTTACTACAATTGATAATAACAATGCTGTGTACCTGCTAATATCGATGTTATAAAAAACCAATTAGCTACCTATATTTGTAATCCCTTGTGTATTATACCTGTATATTAATTCAAAAATTTGAAACTTTAAATGATTATATCTAATAAACGAATTAAGTTATATTAAAAATTCAAATGCCATTTACTATTAAATTAAAAACTCAAACATTTTATTAAATTAAAAATATGTGTTACCATTTAAAAAAACAAAGTTGACCCCCTTCCAAGGGATAAGGGATGAACTTAAAAAGTATTACATAGTTAAAAATTTAAGAATAATGTGTAACTAAAGATAATGAAAAAAAAAAATGTTTAAATTATTATTATTCTGCAAGTAATTGAGTGGGTTATGATAAAAAAATCACTCTGTATAAGTTAGTACATTCATTATCAGTATAGTACAGTATTATCAATCGTATTTATCTCATATGTAATGTATAAGTCTATGATTTTATTATTTAAATTTGGATCCATTTATGACAACTATGCTGTCCAACGTCAAATCATAGTAACCAATATTCTTATCAAAATTGAACTTTTACATATTCCCAGGAATAATAACCTGTTGAATTTTTTTTTGTAATTATTCTATAATTTTAATACAGTTATTAAATTAGATTATTAATAATTATTATGTATACCAGGGGCGTATGGGCGATTGGCTCTATTGAACCAGCGCTATCAATATTTTTTTAGGCAACTTCTAAGAAATATGAACTATTTTGTTGATCATCACTTTGATTTTTAGAAAAAAAAATTATTCTTTATTCCTAAAATAATTTCTGAACACGTCCAAGCGGAATGCCTCATTAACAAACGTTAATCTTGTACCCAATACATTTTACTATTATATCTTTTTGAATTTTCTTGATTTTAATAATTAAATTTTTAATATATTTTAGTTACACTGATTTTGATGTTATATTTTTCCTGCAAAACACTTATCATACCCGGCGGCGTAGCTGTGTACTCTTACCGGAATCAGTGGCCTATTTACGAGAATGGCCCAAAGAGGCTTACGTGCCGAAGACCGTGAGGCCCTTATGGCCCCAGGCCAGACCTGGGCCCTAGTTAGGCGAAGCTTAGTAATAATGTATAGAAAAACTAATATTTAAAAACAATTGTTTACTTCAATTATACATTCTGTAGGTGCACATAACGATAGTATTGAGTTTTATTAATTTTTCACAAATTTTAGTTTAGGTTTTCAGTCGTCAAATTATGATTGTAGAAAACAATATTAAATATTGTGTAAATATGATTTAAAAAAATCTAATACCTTTTAATAATCGCATTTTAATTTAATTTCATAACGAAATTGTTTATTTTAAAATTAATGTAACTACATACTTAGAGGCTTATACTCGAAAAGTAAAAGTAAAAAATGTACTTTCGTAATTCGATGAAAACTACTCAAAATAAAATTTGTTTTTACCTATAGATAACAGCAAATTTTGGAACCTATATATTAGTTCCAAGATCATAGGTGAACATGTATAAAAAAACCATTTAAGTTTACAGTGTTTTACAGTATTGTAACAGTGGAAAAATAGTATATAGAGATTAGTAAAATAGTATATAGAGGGAGATAAATAAAGGAATAGTTAAAATATTATATTATACTGCTGCAAATTAGGTTATAAAACACATTAATTAACGATTGAAAAGTCATTCATACAAATGTTTTTGCTGTCTGCTTTGAGATGTACACATGATTAATGTTGAATGTTAACGGTTTATTCTTTCAAATTTATACAATCATTGTAGTAAAATTAACAAATAAAAAATACGTTTATATATTTTAAATTGTATTTTAGATAGTATTAAAATAAAATATTATTTTATTAATTAGATAAGGATATAAACAAAACAATTCGATACGAATCAATAAAATAATATCAAGTGTTTGTACAAAACTTGATCAAACTAATAATTTGATACAGAAAATGAATCAATGGCAATACAAAAGGTATTAAGTTTGTTCATTTAAATTATATTTTAATTGTTTGCATTTTATTTATATATATTCAATCATGAAAAAATGATATCCTATAACAAATAACTATAAAATAGATTAATAAAGGTTTGGGTTTTAATGTCACACTATCAGCCGTGTCTAGGATTATTATTCAAAACAAAATTTTTAATATTCTGTTATCACCCCGAAACCTTATTGTTTTTGTTTTCATATTTTCTTAACTTATAAGAATCATTTTTTATGAAATAATTATATTAAATAAATTATTTAATAAATAAACGTGCAATTGTTTTTCTTTAAATCGGAGATGAATTCAGATTTTTTTCCAAGTGAAAAAGATTGTAAAGGTAGTGGATTAAACTTTTTCGTTATCTACAAAACCAGCTTACAACGGAATTTTTCACGTTATTGACTAACAAAATGCATTTTCTTACCGATCGTTTATAAGTGTTATAATTGAAATCGATTATTTTTTAAGAATGCTTCAATTAACAACACTTGTTTAATGTCATATTTTCCAGGAAATAAAAGGCCTTCTAACATATCTCGTCGTTTATCTGAACTTATAAGCCAGTAAACGATAAATTAAAAAAATCGTCATAAACAACGGAGTTGTAACAGTATTGTTATACCTACAAGTCTGATTTAGTAATTAAAAAAACGCAAGAAATGTATTTACACGAACCACTACATTTATGTACACACTTTAGTTGTGTATTTCTGGTAACTGACGTACTGACAAGAGTACAGGTGTCTTGAGGTCAGACTTCTTGGAGTTGCGTTGCTTTTTTTGTAATTGTCTAATGGACGTAATGGACAACGAAACCGTTCCAAATGTCACTTTGGCGGCTAATGACGATTTACAACAGTCCGTCGTCGCCGTACCGGCAGCCGCCGCCGAATGAGTCATTGTGCTACCTCCGTTGCTGTAATCTTTTCCGATTAACGATCGGCGGTCGCTGCACAGCAAAAGAGATTTGAACGCGTTCCTGAAGTCTTTCAGGTGGTAAGCGTACAGTAGTGGATTTCCCGCCGAGTTAAGGTGTGACAGAACGATACAAGCGTCAAGCAAGGCGCTCGGCACCAGACATTCAGCACAAAACGCCTGCACGCAGTTGATGGTGTACAAAGGCATCCAACACACGACGAAGAAAGCCACGATGATTGATAGATTTTGAGTGGCCTTTATTTCACTTTTACGTGCTGCACCCAAAACTCGCAATTTGGTCGGACTGTCGTTACGACTGCCGTTCAGCAACGTCATTTGTTTTATCTGTACACGTAAAATTTTACTTATCAGGCAGATCTAAATATATCTTAATTTCGCAAGAAAAAAATAACACAAAAATAGATAAAAATTAGCTGAAAAGTTGTCTAAATAATGTTTATACTAATAAATAGTGTATATACTTTTAATTTCTTGACAATATTCAATTATACAAAATAATTAAGGCAGTAATTAGACGACCTGAGAAATAACTCTACACGTATTCGTCTATTTCTTATTATTAATAGTAAATCAGTCCTTTGTAAAAAGTTATTATTTAAGATAATATAATACCAATTAAGTATTCTTTTTTCTATATGAGTTATAAAATTATTTTTTTTTCTCAATAAAACAGACCCTTGAAAACTAACATGTAAATAATTGCCATGAACAAACGTGAATAAATAAGTTTTTACTTTTAATCAAATATTGAATATAATACATGTTATAATTTTATATTGAATGGTTTATTATCTAGAGTAATACGTATTTATACCGATAAAATTTAATTATAATTATTTTTATTTCTGTCTCACTTGTTTTAAGATGACCGTGTAAATATGAGCATAGGAAGTAGCCATGAGCAATGCTGGTAATATGATTGTAACCAAATACAAGAACACTAGGTAATTGTAGTCCATTACTTGGCTGAACATACAAGCATCCAACGTGGGACCGTTATCAGCTCTCCAGCCCATCAATGGCATAAATCCTATTAAGATTCCCAGCAGCCAGCAAATACAAATTATACCTAAAAACATAGTGTTCATTTTAATGGGATTAGAAAATCCTATGTCCAACTATTAATTCCGGAAACGTTTATTACCTTGAATTTTCTTTAACTATTGTTTTAAATTTATATTCAAAAAAAGTTTATTAGTATAAAATATATATTTTTTTCTATATTCTAACCACGTTTATTAATCATTGTCGTTTCTTATTGTATTGACTGTTTTAAATCACTGAATTGACCTATCATTTATTAGAATGTTGAGAAGTTTGATGAGTAATTACTTTTATCGATTGACATGCTAAAAACGTCAGAAGACTCTTCTAATTAATAGGCGCGACTACCCGCAAAAAATAAACATGAACATCGCAAAGTGATTGAACGTGACGTATTTGGCGCCTGACACTCTGAGCACATTCGATACGACTAATGAAAGAATATAGCAAATTTCATACCACGTGTTGACTTATGAAACACTCGATAGACCCTTGTTAAAACGTCACATGCTTTATGAATAAATTTTAATTAATCCTTGTACCTTAAAACAGGTCGTTTACATTCATAACATACATCAAAATAATTATGGCGGAATGTGAATAAAAGTGATATCACGTTAAATTTTTTATTTTTTTGCGACCTGATAAATAAATTAACAATCGGGTAATTTTGAAAGAGACCTAAGTTTCATATGTTTACTAGGTACGATTTTGAGACATGGTAAACATTTAAAATAAATAACTTTTTTCTAATCGGGCGAAGCAGTAGTATTTGTGCTGATAGGAGTATAAGAGTCATAACCCTTATTGGAAGATAAATAATTGCAGTGATATAAATTTGTTTCGTTAAAAGGGATAGTCAAATTTTTTTAATGGATATAAATTTCTGTTAATTTGCATAAACTTATATATTACACGAAATAATAATAACATTAATGAAATAGTTGTTACATGGAAATTGATTCGAGAGAGTGGATGGTATTATATTAAGCTACCATTTATTTATCAACTAATGAAGCATGAAGAATTGATTTGAAGTGCGATATGAATTTTAAAGGAAGAAATGGTTTTGGAATGTCCTTCAAACAAACAAAACGATGATGATATTTTTTTTTATCAATTTTATTTGTTTTATTGATATCCTTGAATTTGATAATTTATATTAAAGCAATTATGAATGATATTATGTTGAATATCCATTCATAAGCAGTCAATTTATGAATAATACATGCATATCAAAAGATTATTTTAATTATGTTTACTGGTATATGAAACGTGTCAAATATGTTAGGACACAAATGAATTTTCAGATTTTTTTAGTGTTCTACAATAACAAAATAATGATTCTTTGAGTTATTTAATAAAAATTGTTTAATACGCTTGCGGTTTTCAATAATTATAATGGTAAAGAGTAGTAAAAAAAATTGGTAAAGGCACACTCTTCTGATGTCTTATATATTTATTATATTGAATAACCTTCACTTTATAAGCAAAATTAAAATGAATGAAAAAGACGATTTTTAAATTAAAGTTATGAATGACCATCTATTTCTCAAAACAAACTATGTACATTTTATTTTTTTGAAAAAAAAAAAAAAATCAATCTCCTCTTGAAAACATTTTCTGGTTATATCACTGATTATTTTGTCCACTTCTTTTAACCTCATTATTTAGTTTGGGTAGGATTATAATGTGCCTCTGTTTTTATGATTTCCCTTGTTTAAAATATGTAGAATTTTTTAGAAAAACGTTGTTATTGTATAATTATATATTTATTTTACAATATAATATTTTCGCCAAATTTTTATTTAAAAATGACATAAAAATCAATCGGATAACTTATTATGTTTATGAACAGTAGCTATAAAAACCAATAAGCAATAATAACCTTGTAATTATTATTCAATTATAATTAGCGATCCCTAATGATGTATACTTTACATAAATAATTTTACACGCTATATCTTATTATACCACTGTTAATCATTTGATACCTATTTGATAAATGCATTTTTTAATCGCCATTTGTTTTATTGGAAAATCTTCTGAAGTATCCATTTCATTATTTGAACGATATTAATCAATTAATAAAAACTTTGATACTTATTTTTATTACGGTATTTATTGTTAACACAATATTTGGGTTAATTCATGTATTAAAATGAAATATAATTAGATAATTAATGATAAATCATATTTAAAGACTAAAATTATACTCAGTAAAATTTATAGATATTCTTGGTTTTAATTTTTCTAAATAAATCTTAATTAAAAAAAAAAAAATTTTATTTTTATCGTTTTATTGATAATTGAAGTGACTTAAAATTTAAAAGATAAAAATAAAACAATTTATGACATTTAAATGTTTTTTTCGAAAAATATGATATAATATAATACAAAAAATAATATGAATTTGTATTCATATTTAGTTACATGAATTAAAAATTTCATGGGCAGGTAAGTAAATTGAAATTTATATATTTTTTCCAGAAGTCATATTACCGGGTAATGTGTTTTTGGTTAGGTATGTGTAACCTTATTGGTATTTGGTAATTTTTAATAGCGATTATTAACTAGCCATTATCATACTTAATTATTATATAAATGCAATGGAATGTTTACATACTGACTGCAATTTTGGTATTGGAATTTGTGGAGTATGCCATCGGATAGAGTATAGCCCAATATCTGTCAGCGGACACTGCAACAAGACTGAGTATCGATATGGTACACAGGACGATGATCAGCGAAACCGAGAAAAGGCACAGATGGAGATGCCTAGGCAACCCCATACTAGCCAAAACCGCACATGGAATGCCTACCAGGCCGACAAGAAGATCGGCAACCGCCAAAGATATTATGTAATAATTTGTACGACGACGAAGTCTGCGTTCCCTGTGGAATGCCACAATCACCAATCCATTACCAAGGGTAGCACCGACGGCCACCAGTCCTTCGAGTACGGCGTACGGCACGTTCAACAGCGGGCCGCCCGATGATGGGGACGCCGCGTTCGCCGTATACACATTCATAGCGCCTGACTATCACTGGACGTGGTTGAATAACACACAAGCCGTATGAGCATTTTGCCGCCGCGTCCCCTCCAAATGACATCCCACACCGTCATTTATATGGAACAGTATCAAATAAGTAGACTTTGTCATGCGGTATGAGTACAACTCTGGTATAATGATTAGGTACAACCGTGACACGCTAGTAATTTCTTTTGTCCCGTTGGTCACTGTAAAATTTCACAAGGGAAGCGAGGTCATTTGGATGATGGGACGACTGCGCTTTTAACTCTCGGAAAATCTTAATTAATTTGTCGTGTCATAATAACATTAATCGATTGTGAAACAATAAATTATTATAGTCAACAGACATAATACAAATCGAGTAATGAAATAACACAATCCAATTTAATATCACTAAATATCTATATATAGAATAGCACATTATTTTACACGATAAAATCATGTTAGAACAAAAATCATTGAATTTGGAGCCGTTTTTCATTGACCATAAAAATATAAATATTCGTTTATTATTGTAATATTTATAGATACATAAGTATGAATATAATTTAATACAAAATTATAAAATATACCAAGTTTTTAACTCTTTCAATTCGAGTATTTTTACTCGCAACATCATATTATTGAAACAAATAGCTTATACAAATGATATCAACTAAATATATATTAAGGATCTTTAATTTATAATGTTTAGTCTTTAGGTCAATTGAATAACTTATGTTGTTTAATCTTGAATATAGTTGAGAAATACAGAATTGTATTTCAAAGCTTATAAAAAAGCATATACATTTATTTATATACGATGTTTTTATTTTATCAAAAACAAAACTGTTTTATTAATGGTAAGCAATTCTACTTAAATTTATTATGATTCCAAATTCCCATGAATAATTAACTATTTTTTTAGCTATTAAATGCAAATAAAATAAAAAATTAGTTGAAATAATTGATCAATGATCAATTTATTTATTATTATCATTAATTCTAGAAATAATTAACAATCCAATATTTATAATGACTATTTAATCAGATAAACCTCATCATGAAATTTATGTTAACTTAATGTTCAATAATAATAATAATTATCTTTAATATACTTGACTTTACTAAGACAGGTAAACGAAATCTGAATTGTTATCTGGTTTCTTATTTATGCACTTAAATCAAATTTATATTGACTTCTATTACATAAGCAACTACTCATACTTTAGAATAGTTTATTTTACAGTATGTAAGACTCAACTTTGACTCGTTAAAACTACGCTAAGAACTTAGTGATTAAAAATTAATTTGATATATTATTTTAACTCTATTACTGATTTAAGCTAATAATTTCAGGAATATTAATAATTCTTAATTACGTATAATTTTATTATTTTTAATTGAAAAATAAAGTTTTAAAAATAATTTTTAATTATTAAAATTCAAAGAACTCCTGTAAAAAATCTTTTAATTGAGCAGATTAATAATCATATCGTCAAATAATAGAGAAGTTTAGACTAAATGTTAGTGGTCACAAAATTTTTAATTTATATTTTATGACTCAATAGTTGAGCCTAAAAATTTTGTTTAAAAAATTCTTTTGTTTTTTTGAGGTAAATATACTTAAGGCATTTTTGAGACCATTAAGGCCTACTGTCGCAACAACGACATCACTCCACTTTCTCATATCCCTTAAAACTTCCTCCGCGTTCTCCACCCCAATTATCTTGAGATTTTTCTTAATTATACCTGGCCACCGTTGTCTGGGTTGTTTAGTGTTCGGTCTCCATTATGTTATGTTATCCAAGTCCTTCAGATCTCCATATATGATAGGCCCACTTTATTCTATAACTCTGCATGACTTCTATAATTATTCTTCTCCAAATAATCTTCTTAACGCTTCATTTTTCCTAGCTTTAAATTCACCTTCTTCAATGATTTTTAAATAAATATTAATATTGATTTCGAAAATAAATGATTCACGAAGAATTATATGTATATATTAATTACAAAAATTATTTATGAGAAAAAATATACATTGAATCATAAATATTTCTATATTTGGAGATATTTGTAGATATTAGAGTACCGAGAGAGGTTTTAAAGTGGGCATTAATGAGAAAAGGAGTTCCGAAAAGGTACATTAATATAATAGAGAATATGTATGATGGCACTTGTACTAGGGTAGAAAGTGTGGGAGTAGTAACGGAAGGTTTTAGGTTAAGAGTAGGAGTGCATCAAGATTCTGCTCTAAACCTTTATATATTTTCTATAGTGATGGATTAAATTACTACAGAAATACAAGGAGACGTGCCGTGGTGCACGTTGTTTGCTGACGATATAGTGTTAATAGGAGAAAATTAATCAAAGGCTAGAAGTGTGGAGATCAGCTATAGAAGAAAAGGGTTTAAGAATAAGTAGGAGTAAGACAGAGTTATAGAGTACAAGTTTGATAAAGGAGATCACGAGGTAGGTGAAATAAGGAGGCCCAAAAAAACACTCAACACAGTGGGCACGTGACATAGTTGGATCAAGTATAATGATATCTGACAGTGATTAATATCACTATCACAAAAAATGCTTCCTAGATAGTGTTTAATTTTAAGAAATTGATGGGTTATTCCAAAAGCACACGATCTCCTATTTTCTTATTGATATCCTGATTACAAGTATTATGATTTATAAGTGTAATTTATGAATAAAGAAATATTTATATATATTTATAATATATAAATATATAAAAGGGAAATGGTGTTATTTAAAAAAAAGTAAGCCGAATAAAAGAGGGATATAAATATTATTTCTTATAAAAAAATTGTATAGATCCATACACTTATCAATAAGTTATAGCATTATAAAGTTAAAAATATAAAATATAAAATTGAGAATTTTCACACAAAAATAGCAATCAGTAATTATTTTCACCGTGAAGACAAAATAAAGTCCGACATTTTTTTTTCCATAATAAAGTATACTACATTAGCTTTAATTTAAGATATATGTAAAAGTGTCAGACTTTCAAAAGTTAACTTGAAAAAGATAATTTTTTGTGAAAAATTTGTCATTTTAAATCCCCCCCCAGTGGGCAGGTAAAGGGTCAGATTTATAAAAAAATATACCAAATAATAGGTAAAGACATCAAGCATTTACAAAAAAAAAAATTATGTTAATTGATCATTTTTGAAAAAGTTATGGCAGTTTTAAGTAAAAATTTTTTAAAAAATTTCGAAAATTAGCGATTTTTAAATTTTTAATTTTTTGGTAGATTTTCCCTTTTACGGGGAACGAGGGAAATTTGTTCAATTTTTGAGGGTAACGTTTATCCAATCTAGTCGAAGCTAGATACGATTTGTGATCTTTTGACGTATCGTTGAAAGAAATCGGTTCATTGAGCGCTGAGAAAAAGTGGTAACAGACATAAAAAAAAAAAATGAATAAATAAATAAAAAAAAAAACACATCATAGTAAAATTAATACCTCTTCAGCTTCGCACCATAGCTAAAATAACAACAGAATTAAAAATAACAACAACAGAAATTACATAAACAATTAGGAAAAAAGATAAGTCAGCAGTATAGCTCTAACCGGAGACCTGTAACTATCGATCCATAGAAGTACTCTACGGCGAGTTTAATATACACATAATGTCTTATATAGAGTGTTCAGTAAGTAAGGGAACAGGTTGTTATTGTTCTCATTATTAGTAATAATTTACCTGTTTCCTGACTTACTGAACACCCTGTATAAGAGATTACTGATAATATTCTAAATAGCTAAAACCTAATTTTTAATAACTATTGAAAATTATAATTTAACATTTTAATTATTATTTGATTTAACATAAGAAACATTTTTTCATTATTAAAATACTTCAACCACTATAGAAGTCATTAATCTACTTTTAATTTTTTATTTAAAATTATAAATTTTGATAATTATTTTGATGATAATGTTATGTGAATAAATATATAATACATTTTATTTACAATTAACTATCTAAACCTAGGTTAGTAAAAAACTGACATATCTTGAATTTATTATGGCATTTGAGTATTTTGAACAGTGAGTGATGATATGTTATATAGTAAGAATATATCAAATTAAATAAAATACCATTGTACATTTAAAATGTTCTTGTAGTCAACTAATAATATAAACTTAGAATTTAAATAAAAACTTTATCAATATAATAATACAATTGGCATACCTGTAGAAATTTGTATTATTTGTAAAATAAAAATAAATCGTTGGCATTTTTTTACTGCTATAAAAAAATAGATAAAAACAAATAATAATACTTACAGGATGTTAAAAATTAGTTCGAAATTATGAAACGGTATTTCAGTTTGTTCAAAAAACAGTGATAAAAAAAAGTTAATATAAAAGTACAATTACAATTCTAAATATGTTACAATTTAAATAAATTTTAATGGTAATTATAAGGTATCATTAAATAAAATACCATAGTATATTTTAAAATGTTCTTGTAAGCAACTAATGTTATAAACACAGGAATTGAAAAAAAAAATTATCAACATATTATAGGTCACATAATAATATAATTTACATATCCTGTAAAAGTTATTTGTAAAATATAAATATATCGCTATAATTTTTTTAATGCCATAAAAAAAGATTTGTATTCTTTATACATATTTTTTTATTAACATATTTATAATATAAAATACTAATGAACACATTTGCCTATATTCACTTTAAATTTTCTTTAGTTCTTTACTAGTTATAATTAATATTAGTATTTTATTTACAATGGAATTTTATTCGTTGATTTTAATAATGTCTATTGTCGTTTTCGCTAAGAAACCAGACGAAGAAACAAATTGCAATCGTAGAATTGTTAACAAATACCGTGAGGATTACAAAAATTATATTAAAACAGTGGTTGGTTACATTCGTTTAAATATTGGATTGAATGAAATGCAAAATCTAAAATTCAAAAAGGATTCAATTTGTACTATTAGTATTGAGGAAGCTTTCAAACCCGAAATAAACTACAATAATTTCAAAAATAACTATTTTTATACAATAAATCTACTGAATTTCAAGTACACTGAAATACTAAAAAACTTCCTCGATTATATCGACATTATTCTCCAAGTATGTAAGCAATTTCATGAAAGAAATTTAGAAGAAAAATTTATTTGTTGTGTAACATCACTTATAGAAGAAGTGAAAAATTCTAAGACTATGTTTGAAAATCTCTACAATGGTATGACGTTTATAAGCAACATAGATGTAAGATTTGTGTTTCAAGGATGCATTATGCCGAATGTTATAATTAATGAAATCAACTTTTTTCAAAAATATGTGTTGTATAAAATATCAGAGAGCAGCCAATTAGATCACAACACACATTTTAATTTCAACTGCTTACCAAATATTGAATACTCAGAAATGAATTTTGAGAGTTTAAACGAATTTCTTACAGTAGCATCAATAATAGTAAACAATCTCTTTAAAAATAGTAATATCATCGACACTTCTATAAAAACCAATTCGACAACAATTCAAAATAATGATGATGAATTTTATTTAGTCTATTTAACATGTAGTAAACTTAAATCGTTTTATACTGAAAACATAGAAATCTGGTATAAAAATCTTGGCTTTGAAAAATTTCTCAATCCCAAAATACCCATGTAAGATTGCCTATATTTATATTTACTTTCTATTCTAATTTTATATTAGAAAATAAATAACTTAACATATTTTTTGAACATTTAGGAAATTTACATTTAAAACTTACGTCAATTTTATGGTAATCTGTAAATTTGCTACGGACACAAAATGAACGAACTTAGTATATTTATATAATTAAAATTGATTACTTGTGCCTAATATTATTTAAAATTAATACTACATTAAAAATGTAGTTATAAAATAATATTGACTTAGTTCAAAAATTATCTGGTCATACTATTCAAAATAACGATAGGTTAATTTCTTTTAACGTTATTTCTATTATTTCCGGTATTCTGATAGATATAACAATTGGTAAATTAATAAAACTTAGTATATAACAAATTTAATAATGATCAGTTGTCCATCCTTCTATTTTCCGAACTTGAAATTCTACTTAAATAATGACCCTTTTTTCACAATGCATCAGACCACCAGACTTCACCAATGTGAAAATCACTAGAAAAATCTTATTGGCACCCTTGGGATCAAACCTGGGACCACACGCCCCATCATACGTTAACGCCCACTAGACCAAGTATATCCATAAAATAAATAAACTTAGTATGTTTGTTCATTTTTCTTGATATATTTCTATGTATAATTTATATTAAAGTATTAATGAAAAAAATTACATTTTCATAATATTCAACGATATTATTTATCATTTTTAATCATTATTGGAGGTATTTTATACATTAAATTGATTTTTAATAAAACATAACTCATTTTGTGCATAATAAAGTTGGACGTAATCTTAAAATTTCCAAAATTGTAAATAAATCCTTAGAAATCTCTGAATAATAATAATATTAAATATATATACAGGGTGTTCAGTAAGTCAGGAAACGGGTATCTATTGTTCTCATTGTTACAAACAATGAGAACAATAGAAACCCGTTTCCTGACTTACTGAACACTCTGTATAATGTTAGTATAAAAAAATTTCTTTTCTGAAATTCTTTGTTTACCCTCAATATTTTAATATTATAATACAAAAAACATATTTTTGACCATTTTAATAAAGTTAAACTTAATGAAAATAAAACAATTACTCATTAATAATAATTAAATTTATTTTATCTATGTATTTTATTAATAATCTTATTATTTTTATTAATATAGACTCATACCTCCAATAGATTCAAAATTTAATATAAATGTGGCAATTAAAGCTTTCAATATACTTCGACATGAATCTGGTTGGAAAACAATGGAACACATAAATATAGTATATAATGAAAAACTATATAGCGTAGATTGTATTATGAAAGACTCAATTGATAACATAAATTTTCAAATAAAAAAAGAACATGTAATGCAATTATTAAGATGTAGATACACAGAAATAATTAAAAATTATCACATGTTATTAACTGTTTTATTGACTCTATGCGATAATTATGCAAAACATTTCAACTACAATTGTTTGATTAAATTCTTTGACTCATTCAATAAATCTAAAATAATGTTTGAAGGTTTACATACAGCTTTAATTACTTTACGAAAATCGTCATTATGGAGTTTTACTGTATGGTCTCATTCAAATTTACAGAAAATATTAAAATGGATTGAAGATTTCCTTAGTTTATTGAATAATAATGAATTTTCTCAAGATAATTTAGTCGATAAAAATAGTAGTAAAAATACCGAGATAATACAGAAAAAATTAAAATATTTCCTTAAGTTTCTTAAACAGTTTTACATTGAATTTTATAGTGATTTCAGAAACATGGACTCCCGTTGTCATATGAAAAATCCTTATTATGAAAAATCCAAATTATTAAAATATTTCGATTATTCGAGAAATACATTACATATTCCGACACCTGAACAGAAAATCGAAATTTATAACAATGCATGTAATTATTTTGATGAGTTTTGTGATAATGTTTACAAATCTTGTTATGAAAATTTAGGATTCAGAAAAATTGATTGTGAACTAGATTGATTATTTACCTATTTAGTCTTTATTAAATAGTAAATGTTAAGTGCCAATTGAATTTTAAGAGTAAATTTTATAAAATTATTATTAAAATGAATTTACTAGATCACTAGATTACAGGCACATTTAAATTTTTATAATAATTTAAAAAAATATTTTTTTCTAAATTACTGTATTTGTTGAATCTACCTGCACACTTGCTAAAACATAATATTAAAAATGTTTCATAAAGTTAAAAAAGAATAATGTTGTATGTTTTATAATGTTAAGAACCACTATTTGTTCTTAACTTTTTTAATATAAAAATAAAATAAACCCAGCACAGGTGGGTCACGACATAGTGGTGACGTAGCATAGTTGGGTTAAGTATAATGATATCTGACAATGATTACAAATCTTTAGAAATTGTTTAATTTTAAAAAATTTATGGATTATTCCAGAAGCTACATTATCTCCTATTTCCTTATTAATATCCTGATTAAGATAAAGTATGTCGAATGAAAAAGGGATAATTAAAAAATATTTTATCTCATAAAAAAAATGCATTGATCCATACACTTATCAATAAGTTATAGCATTATAAAGTTAAAAATATAAAATATAAAATTGAGAATTTTCACACAAAAATAGCAATCGGTAACTATTTTCACCGTGAAGACAAAATAAAGTCCGAAATTTATTTATTCCATAATAAAGTATATTACATTAGCTTTAATTTAAGATATATATAAAAGTGTCAGACCTTCCGGAACACTTTCAAAAGTTAAGTTGAAAAAGTTCTATTTTCTATGTGCATTTTTTAGAATTGAACCCCCCTAGTATATAGGGAAATAGTTCGATTTAAAAACACAGTATGTCGAATAAAAGATGTATATAAATACTACATCTCATGAAAAAATATTTTATCTCATAAAAAAATGCATTGATCCATACATTTTTCAAAAAGTTATAGTATTATAAATGTTAAAAATGTAAAAAATAAAATCGAGAATTTTCACACAAAAATAGTATTCAGTAACTATTTTCAATGTGAAGACAAAATGAAATCCGAAATTTTTTTTTCCATAATAAAGTAAATTGCATTAGCTTTAATTTAAGATATTTATAAAAGTGTCAGACCTTCCGGAACACTTTCAAAAGTTAAGTTGAAAAAGTTAATTTTTTGTAAAAAAGTTGTCATTTTAAATCCCCCCCTGTGGACAGTTAAAGGATCAGATATAACAAAAAAATATTTCAAAAGAAAGGTAATGATATCATGCATCTATACAAAAAAGAGTTATATTGATATGTTCATTTTTGAAAAAGTTTTGGCAGTTTTAAGTAAAAAAACCCAGCACAGGGGGTCGCGGCACAGTTGTGACGTGGTATAGTTGGATCAAGTATAATGATATCTGACAGTGATTAAAATCACTATCAAAAATAAACGCTTCGATGCAAATCTTTAGATAGTGTTTAATTTTAAAAAAATTGGTGTTTTATTCCAAAAGCTACTTGATCTGCTGGTTCCTTATTAATATCTCGATTAAGATAAAGTATGTCGAATGAAAAAGGGTTTATTAAAAAATATTATTTCTCATAAAAAAATTGTGTGGATCCATAAACTTTTCAATAAGTTATAGCATTATAAAGTTAAATATAATATAAATAATAAAATCGAGAATTTTCACACGAAAATAGCATTCGGTAGCCATTTTCGCCGTGAAGACAAGTCCAGAGGTCAAATTTTTTTTTTTCAAATTAAAGTATATTACATTAGCTTTAATTTAAGATATATATAAAAGTGTCAGACCTTCCGGAACACTTTCAAAAGTTAAGTTGAAAAAGTTCTACTTTCTATATGCATTTTTTATATTTGAAGCCCCCCCATATATAGGGAAATAGTCTGATTTAAAAAAAAAGTATATCCAATGAAAGATGTATATAAATACTACTTCTCATGAAAAAATTGTATTGATCCATACATTTTTTAAAAAGTTATAGCACTTTAAAGTAAAAAATGTAAATTATAAAATCGAAAATTTTCACACAAAAATAGCATTCGGTAGCCGTTTTCACCATGAAGACAAGTCCAGAGGTCAAATTTTTTTTTTTCAAATTAAAGTATATTACATTAGCTTTAATTTAAGATATATATAAAAGTGTCAGACCTTCCGGAACATTTTCAAAAGTTAAGTTGAAAAAGTTAATTTTTTGTAAAAAAGTTGTCATTTTAAATCCCCCCCTGTGGACAGTTAAAGGATCAGATATAACAAAAAAATATTTCAAAAGAAAGGTAATGATATCATGCATCTATACAAAAAAGAGTTATATTGATATGTTCATTTTTGAAAAAGTTTTGGCAGTTTTAAGTANTTCACACAAAAATAGCATTCGGTAGCCATTTTCACCATGAAGACAAGTCCAGAGGTCAAATTTTTTTTTTTCAAATTAAAGTATATTACATTAGCTTTAATTTAAGATATATATAAAAGTGTCAGACCTTCCGGAACACTTTCAAAAGTTAAGTTGAAAAAGTTCTACTTTCTATATGCATTTTTTATATTTGAAGCCCCCCCATATATAGGGAAATAGTCTGATTTAAAAAAAAAGTATATCCAATGAAAGATGTATATAAATACTACTTCTCATGAAAAAATTGTATTGATCCATACATTTTTTAAAAAGTTATAGCACTTTAAAGTAAAAAATGTCAATTATAAAATCAAAAATTTTCACACAAAAATAGCACTCGGTAGCCGTTTTCACCATGAAGACAAGTCCAGAGGTCAAATTTTTTTTTTTCAAATTAAAGTATATTACATTAGCTTTAATTTAAGATATATATAAAAGTGTCAGACCTTCCGGAACATTTTCAAAAGTTAAGTTGAAAAAGTTAATTTTTTGTGAAAAAGTTGTCATTTTAAATCCCCCCCTGTGGGCAGATTAAGTGTCAGATTTACAAAAAAAATATACCAAATGATAAGTAAAGACATCAAGCATCTATATAAAAAAAAATTATATTGATATGTTCATTTTTGAAAAAGTTAGAGCATTATTAAGTTAAAAATATAAAAAAAAATTATTTTACAAAAATCGTAATTTTTTATTAACTTTGATGTCAACTTTCACCACGAAGACAAGTCCAGAGGTCAAATTTTTTTTTTTCAAATTAAAGTATATTACATTAGCTTTAATTTAAGATATATATAAAAGTGTCAGACCTTCCGGAACATTTTCAAAAGTTAAGTTGAAAAAGTTAATTTTTTGTGAAAAAGTTGTCATTTTAAATCCCCCCCTGTGGGCAGGTTAAGTGTCAGATTTACAAAAAAAATATACCAAATGATAGGTAAAGACATCAAGCATCTATATAAAAAAAAATTATATTGATATGTTCATTTTTGAAAAAGTTACGGCAGTTTTTAGTAAAAAAAATTGAAAAAATTTCGAAAATTAGCGATTTTTAAATTTGTAATTTTTTTGGAGGTTTCCCCCATTTACGGGGAACGAGGGAAATTTTTTCAATTTTGAAGGGTAATGTCTTCGACTAGATACGATTTGTGATCTTTTGACGTATCGTTGAAAGAAATCCGTTCGGTGAGAGCTGAGAAAAAGTGGTAACAGACAAAAAAAAAAAAAAAAAAAAAACACATAGTAAAACCAATACCTTCTCAGCTTCGCATCGAAGCTAAAAAAATGAAAAAATTTCGAAAATTAACGATTTTTAAATTTGTAATTTTTTTGGAGATTTCCTCTATTTACGGCGAACAAGGGAAATGTTTTCAATTTTTGAGGGTAATGTTCTTGACTAGATACGATTTGTAATCTTTTGACGTATCGTTGAAAGAAATCCGTTCGGTGAGAGCTGAGAAAAAGTGGTAACAGACA